CGTCAATGTCATACTATCAAATGAATTTAGAGTGTCTGTCTTTCTCTCTGTTTTTCTATCCGTTTGTTTGTCTGTCTCTCTGTTTGTCTATCTGATCGTGGGTATGTCTGTTCAACCATAAAAATTAGGAAATATGTATATATCTTTAACATATCAGTACATTTGAAGAAAAATGTTAATTAAGAAGCTGGTAATGAATATTACTTGATAATGTATAGTTTGTAGAACTCAATGACCTATGCAAATACCACACCTTCTAAGTATATATTTCATTTATTGCAACTTCATCCTAATGAACGCACAAAAAAATAATAAAATCGGCGCATACTTAAGGAGAAGCTGTGTACTCACCTTATTTCTCAGTTGATACAAAGGCAAAAGTCCATAGAATTAAACTAAAAGCTGATGCTCTTGAACTGGTCTAGAAAATCTAGAGACATATTATAGAAAGGGGGTGGTAAAGCGTATGCATTTATACCATGGTGTTTTCAGCCACTGCCACTTTCCCCTCGGTGTTTATCATTTGCCAGTCCGTGACACGAGACTGATTTCTTCTTGACAACTCTCCCATGACGTCAACATAAGAGAGGTGATCCTGTCCTCCTTTCGTTGTGATACGATCCAGGTCTTTGACTGAGTATAGGTAACAGAATTGCATTAAGGCTGTCCTTTTGTCATTATGGTTTTAATTAAAAGTTCCTCAAAGATTTTAATGGGACTGTCAACAGTGATATCTTAAGACAAGTAAAAGGTAACGATTTTTAAATGTTCGGCAATGAACCTGGCACGACAGGCACACACAAAAAAGGGGGCGGGTTTGGGCAAAATATTGACCTCAGCACAATTCAGAACAATAGACGCATAAATTAAAATAACGGTAATTTTATTAATTTAAAAAAATATATAATAATAACAATCTGTAAAGCCTCTTTATTGTGCTTTTTGTTGGAAAAATTACTCATCCGTTAATTGTATATCCTTAAAAATCAAAACCCCATACTAAGTACACAATTGCAACGTACACTCAAGAAAATAAACACCTCACATTGCAGTTCACGTGACCACAGGATGAATGGGTGATTTATCTAATGCAGCGGCTCTCAACCTGTGGGTCGCGACCCCTTTGGGAGTCGCACGACCCTCTCACGGGGGTCGCCTCAGAAAATCTGAAAACACATATGCTCTACAGTTATAAAGAAGCAACGAAAATAATTTAGTGATGGGGGGTCGCCACAATATGAGGAGCTGTATTAAAGGGTCGCGGCATTAGAAATGTTGAGAACCACTGATCTAACGCCTTGCTGCTGACAAATTTAAGCGAAAAACAAGACCTCAGGAAGCCTATCAAGCCAGAAGACAGTGTGTGCATTGCACTCAAAACCGATATCCTTTTTATTTTGGAACAATAACAGCACCTTATCTAATTCTATAGTATGTTATCTTAAAAAGGATATATATTTGTCTTATTAAATTAAAATGCAAAATGTTGGGGGCACTTCAAATTGTGTCCTCGGTCTGTTGAAATCAAGCGCTTTAACTAAAATATTATATGCAAGGGCTTAGCAGGGTGCAGTTGTTGTTGTTTTTTTTACACTGGGTTCGCGTATTTTGAGAATATACCCGTTGGGTTCAAATTTTATCCCCCCCCCCCACCCCCCTCGAAAAAAAAAAATAAAAAAAATATGAGTTGACTTCATGTTGGGGGCACTTCAAATTGTGTCCTCGGGCTGTTGAAATCAAGCGCTTTAACTAAAATATTATATGCAAGGGCTTAGCAGGGTGTAGTTGTTGTTGTTTTTTTTACACTGGGTTCGCGTATTTTGAGAATATACCCGTTGGGTTCAAATTTTATCCCCCCCCCCACCCCCCTCGAAAAAAAAAAATAAAAAAAATATGAGTTGACTTCTCATTTTCTATAACATTTGCCGGCCTTTAAACGATAGGCCTACAGACAGTCCTACGCCAAAACTGCCGGCCTTTAAACAATAGTCCCACATTTAAAGACTAAGTTCAATCATGTGGTATCTAATTCATCTGCACACTCTGGGATCTCATCCATGTGGTGGGTTCAAGTGTTTAGGTACTTGCAAAAATAAATAAAATGTTTGAGGAAGGCGAAAGTTCTGAAATTCGTTTATTTGCACAAATGTAAAAAAAAAAAAACAGTATGTCATTAATATTTTAAAAAATAACAGTATGTCAGTAATATTAAAAAAATAAAGTATGTCATAGATATTTTAAAAATAATAGTATGTCATTAATATTTTTAAAAAAAGAGTATGTCATTAATATTATAAAAAATAACAGTATGTCATAAATATTAACAAATAACAGTACGTCATTAATATTAAAAAATAACAGTATGTTATTAATATTTAAAAAATAACAGCAGTTGTGTCATATAGAATAAAAAATAACAGTATGTCATTAATATTTTAAAAAATAACAGTATGTCAGTAATATTAAAAAAATAAAAGTATGTCATAGATATTTTTTTACAAAATAACAGTATGTCAGTAATATTAAAAAAATAAAAGTATGTCATAGATTTTTTTTTTACAAAATAACAGTATGTTATTAATATTTTTAAAATAACAGTATGTTATTAATATTATTAAAATAACAGTATTTTATAAATATTAAAAATAACAATATGTCATTAATATTTTTTAAAAATAACAGTATGTCATTAATATTATAAAAAAACAGTAAGTCATAAATATTAACCAATAACAGTACGTCATTAATATTTAAAAAAATAACAGTATGTTATTAATATTTAAAAAATAACTGCAGTTGTGTCATATAGATTAAAAAATAACAGTATGTCATTAATTTTAAAAAATAACAGTATGTCAGTAATATTAAAAAAATAGCAATATGTCATAAATATTAACCAATGACAGTAGGTCATTAATATTAAAAAAATAACAGTATGTCATTAATATTAAAAAATAACAATATGTCATTAATATTAAAAAATAACAGTATGTCATTAATATTAAAAAATAACAGTATGTTATTAATATTAAAAAATAACAGCAGTTGTGTCATATAGATTAAAAAATAACAGTTTCCGTTCGTAAAAAGTTATTGTTTCTAAAATGTGCAGATAATAACACATCCTATAATTTCCAAAACACCTCAAAACTTTTCCTAAAAACTTCTTTAATTTTGATGTCTCCAGGCAGTGGCGTGTTTTATGTTAGCACCTTCCGGGGGCGGGCCAAACTTTATGCCACCCCCTTTCTACGAAAAAACACCGATAAAAGGACGGTAGGAGTGACAGCACACCCCCCCCCCACTCAAAAATTGTATTTTCAAAACATAATGTTAACAACTTAAGTTACTTTTTCATCTGTGTAATTTACAAGCTACCTTACAAAAATTCTCTTTTTTTTAATTTACAAACTGCGTATTATTTTTTTTAAGTATTATTTAATTATTCGAATATTGTTCTCAAAGTGAAATGTTTTGTTGTGATTTCTAGTCTCAAAACTTTGAAGTCTTTGTCATAGAAAAAAGGGGGCCACTAAATATTTCCCTTGGTAAGTTAAGATGACACCTTGCAATAACAGCTCACTGTCCATAGCGAACATAAAAAAATAGCCTCTGTACCAAGCAAATGCAGTATCTCGCATCAAGCACGGATCTCATTTTTTTTAAACATAAAAACCTACTCGTCTTTGCTCAAATCCTGTCAAACAAGAAATGCGCAGGGGTTTTCCCTGCGAATAGCACAACCATGGAACGCTAGCACCGAATTGCATCTTGCACAGGGTTTCGCTGCATAGGTGTTGTCTCTCAATCAGAGTTCATATTTTAAAAAGAGAGCTTGAAGAGATTAAGAATGTTGATTGAGCTTTTTTTTTCCTTCAAAATATTTATAAACCTCCAAGGCTATAATCAGATTCATGTATTTTTCTTAAAACTAACATTTAAAGTAACAATGTCCAGATTTTAGGTGGGTGTTTCTTCGTAACTCTAACAGTTAACAACAAAGTAAAACTAAAAACAGCAAATCAATTTTTTTTAATGAATAATGTCATTTATTTATTCGATTTCTAATTCCAATATCCCCCAAGTTAAATATTGGCGGTAAATAGAAAGATTTAAAGCTTTACAAGTATTCAATAACCATAACCGGTTAAAATCTCGGAGACCACCGAAATATTGTCCTCAATCTTAAGACATCTCCTCCGTCAGACAGGTGACGCTCATTTTAAAGTTTAAACGAACCTTTCAACCCGGTGTTCTGCTTTTAAAACAATATTTACCATCAATTAAAAAATTCCTGGGTTTTTTGTTGCTTTTTTATGCCAATACGCCCTTACTAATTTAATCTCCCACAAAAGCGCTGAATGCTTACTCTGTTTTTTTCTAGTGACTTCCAATATCTGCTTCTTGCACTAGAGGCAGACATGTAACAATGTAAAAAAACAAATTTTTCTTCTAGGAAAAAGACAATAATAATGTGATGTCGAAGGAATTTTTGGTACGCGCCCGTAAAGCATCGACTTTGACCGAATTTAACCTGGGTATAGTAAGGTATAGCATAAGCATTTTTTTTTTAAACCGAATTCTGTCACATAGGCCAGTCTAAACTTTCAGTGTCATGCAGGTCCAAATTGATTTTAATGCAGCAAATTCGGAATTTCTTAACTGTGCAGGTGAATATTAAACATTTGTCAACCGCCCCGGGTGCTGTCTTCAAGAGGGCGCCAAAATCTCCCTCCGGAGCGCATTCTGCTTGTCATGCACCTGCTTAGATATCTGGTTTGCGGAAAGATACAGAGGGGAAAGTTAGTCCACAACTCAGTCCAAATGTTGGGTTTTTTTTTATATTATTTATATCAAGATGACTCTCGATTTTTAAACAGAAAATTAAGTAAATAAAACAAGGAATTAGTGACACCATATATTGATCGTTTTAGCAGTGTTCCTTTAAAACAGCCACGTCTAAAAGAATAACCTAATTTTTTATCTTAATAGAGAAAGTTGGTGATTTAAAAAATAGTGTGCTCCTTTAAATGAAATAGTTTCTTTTTAAGACTTCCACTTCCTCTTACACGCCTGCACCACATGTGTGACGATCTGGATAGGCTTTCATTTATCTGGATCTTTGGCCGCGTGCGTAAAACTGACATCCGGGGACGGCGCTGGTCGTGCTGATCCCGCCTGCTGCGTTGAAGGTCAGGTCACATTGAGAGGTCTTCTCCCAGAAGTTGATGCCCGTGCAGTCCGGGGTGCGCAGGCAGAGGGACCCGCAAGTGAGCACGTGGGGCCTGAAGGGCACGACAGTCTGGGTGTTGGTCACCTGACAGGTGTTGTACACTTTGGTGAGGTAAAGATACGAGATACCTGTTGATTAGAAAGGTGTGGGTGATGCTCATAGGGTGTTGATCTAAAGATAGAATATACTCAGAGAGTACCCAGAGAATACAAGCATGAGACAAGTAGACCTTCAATAAATTGTAATTTTTTGTTGTTTTATTCTCTCTCTCTGTCTCTCTGTCTCTGTCTCTGTCTCTCTCTCTCTCTCTCTCTCTCTCTTTCTCCACCTCTCCATATTTCTCTTAGTTTTGACGAGCGATAACTGATAAGAAGTAACATTTAATGAATGTTACATATAAATTGTAAGCAAATAATCTTGATTCCATCAAATTAGAGATGGTGTACAGGGGTTATAGAAATAGTAAAGGGTATGTGATCGGTGGTTGGTCAGGGGTTTCGGAGTAAGGGTGAAGAATGGAGGGGACGCATCCCCCACCCCCCCGGGCTCTGGTTCGCATATCTGCTGTGACATGCTGACTAAAGTTGCGCTGCCACAGACACCCCCCCAAGCGCTACCCGGGAAATATAATCACCATTGCGTGATCCTGCGTGGGCAGACAAAGGGCGTGCATGGTATCTGCCGCAATGATACCAACTACAGTGCCAGCTGTAGCCTTTTCCAGCTGTAGCCTTTTCCTGCAGTTGTCAGATCTGCAGTTGAAATAACGGTAGTTAAAGAGTGGTGGTCATGATTTCTAAGTTGCCGATAACGGATATGAGACGTGAGGTTGGTAGTGGCAGCCGCATGCTAATGATTCTTTGCACACAGTCACTGGGGAAGCTGTTCCCAGGCAACCGTTTCCTCCCACTATTCACGAGGTAGAAGCACATATTTGAAAACCCAATTAGAGGGCGTCCGAAGCTTCTACGGGATAGGCAAGGGGAGATGTTCGGACGTAAAGGATTCATCCCGACCACTGCGAAAGTAGATGGCTGGTGTTGTGAGAGCAGCACCACTGACAGACTTGTTGTCCTTGGGCTGAGATGGCCTTCCTAAAACTAGACAACCGACGGAAGCTACGGACGAAGGCTGTCCCAGAAGGAGATCTCCAACGTGCGGCTTCGCGGACCAACAGTTTAGGGGACTTTCGGACTTTAGGGAGTGGATGCTTTGGGAAGGGCATTAGCTTTTTAGCTCGCCGACTGTCTGAAGCCATTTCCTAATGTACGGATTTAGGAGACTTATTCTATGAGGGAGTTGTGGTGAGGAAAGACATGGGGTTGGGTCGAGGAAATCGTGGATTAATGTTACAGTTGAAAGTGGAAATCAAATTTAATGTACCCATGATTCCTTGATAACGGAGATTTAACGTGTCTAATATAACAAGGAGAAAAATTAGGTCTTTTAAAAATCCAGTAAATTCCAAACCAGGGCCAATCTTGCTTGTAAAATAGAAGTTATATATTACTTACCTGAAACCAACTGAGTATTTGGTCTCAATGTGGTAGCTGTCTGCACCGTGGGAGCGGCTGATGACGTTAATGAGGCAGTTGTTGGTATCGTTGTTGGTGTCGTTGTTGGTGTCGTTGTTGGTATCGTTGTTGGTGTCGTTGTTGGTGTCGTTGTTGGAGTCGTTGTTGGTGTCGTTGTTGATGTCGTTGTTGGTGTCGTTGTTGATGTCGTTGTTGATGTCGTTGTTGGTGTCGTTGGTATCGTTGTTGGTGTCGTTGTTGAAGTCGTTGATGGTGTCGTTGTTGGTGTCGTTGTTGGTGTCGTTGTTGGCATTGTTGTTGGTGTCGTTGGTATCGTTGTTGGTGTCGTTGTTGAAGTCGTTGATGGTGTCGTTGTTGATGTCGCTGTAGATGTCGTTGTTGGCGTCATTGTTGGTGTTGTTGTTGATGTCGTTGTTGATGTCGTTGTTGATGTCGTTGTTGGTGTCAGTCGTTGTTGAAGTCGTTGATGGTGTCGTTGTTGATGTCGCTGTAGATGTCGTTGTTGGCGTCATTGTTGGTGTTGTTGTTGATGTCGTTGTTGATGTCGTTGTTGATGTCGTTGTTGGTGTCGTTGTTGGTGTCGTTGTGGAAGTCGTTGATGGTGGCGTTGTTGGTGTTGATGTTGTCGTTGTTGGTGTCGTTGTTGGTGTCGTTGTTGGTGTCGTTGTATGTGTCGTTGTTGGTGTCGTTGTTGGTGTTGTTGTTGGTGTCGTTGTTGTCTGTGATGATGTCGTCGTCGATGTAGATGTCGGCGTTGTACTTGTCGGGGTTGTCGAAGTGGTCGTAGGCACAGTTGTAGGTGACGTTGTTGCTGCGTCAGTAGCTGCTTCAAGTGACTCATAGCTGGGTGTCAAGAAACCCGTGTCACGTGCTGCTGGTGCCATCGTTGTGGTCGTGGTGGTGGTGGTGGTGGTTGAGCCCGATTGTTCAACATTCTGTAGAGACGGCAATAGTAACTTAATCATGGGTCTTCATAACTTAATCATGGGTCTTCATAACTTAATCATGGGTCTTCATCACTTAATCATGGGTCTTCATCACTTAAATACTCATGGGTCTTCATAACTTAATCATGCGTCTTCATAACTTAATCATGGGTCTTCATAACTTAATCATGGGTCTTCATTACTTAATCATGGGTCTTTATAACTTAATCATGGGTCTTCATAGCTTAATCATGGGTCTTCATAACTTAATCATGGGTCTTCATTACTTAATCATGGGTCTTCATTACTTAATCATGGGTCTTCATAACTTAATCATGGGTCTTCATAACTTAATCATGGGTCTTCATAACTTAATCATGCGTCTTCATAATTTAATCATGGGTCTTCATAACTTAATCATGAGTCTTCATATTTTAATCATAGGTCTTCATAACTTAATCATGCGTCTTCATAACTTAATCATGGGTCTTCATCACTTAATCATGGGTCTTCATAACTTAATCATGCGTCTTCATAACTTAATCATGGGTCTTCATCACTTAATCATGAGTCTTCATAACTGATCAAAGATTCATGACGGAAGTTCAAACGTTGAGGCTTAGCAGGTGTCTCAATTTGGCAGACCTGCTTACCATTCTTAACCATCGTAACCAATCTAACCATGCTAACCATTCTAACCATGCTAACCATTCTAACCATGCTAACCATTCTAACTATGCTAACCATTCTAACCATGCTAACCATTCTAACCTTGCTAACCATTATAACCATGCTAACCATTCTAACCATGCTAACCATTCTAACCATGCTAACCATTCTAACCATGCTAACCATGCTAACCATTCTAACCATGCTAACCATTCTAACCATGTCAACCATTCTAACCATTCTAACCATACTAACCACTCTAACCCGAGATACAATTTTGGTCAAGGTTTTATCTAGATGTCTACCGAAGGGGTGGAAATCAAAGATAAGGAACTTTAAACATTAATAGATTATTTAATTTATATGAAACCCACAAAAAGGGGAAATGGGTATAGAGCCCCATAGCTTCCTGGCTCCACCATTGCTGTTGGCCTAAAATGCCGCTAAATGCTTAGCTATGAGCCGAATTTTAGCTCTGCGCTTTTCTATGATCCATAGATAAATTATGTGATTTCCAAAGAATATTTATATGACACTGATACAGGAAATATAATTCATTTCCAAAACATGTTTAAATCACAAATACTTCCACTTGTCTTTCTTCAAGACGACTCACGATTATAACCCTGCGATTATAGCTCTATGGATAAAGCTCTACGAATACAGCTCTACGAACATCGAATACTGCAAATAAAGCTCTACGATTCTGTTCTGTATAGCTCTGCGAAAATAGCTCTACGAATACAGCTCTGCGAATACTGCAATTATGGCTCTGCGATTATGTAACGCTCTGCGAAGATCCGCTTCAACACACAGTACGTTTGACAACCGTCCGTTAATGGACGGACAGTCGGTAACAATTTGACCGCAAGAGACATGTCCGTAAGTGTCCGTAGGTACTTATTTTTGGGTGTTCATAAAAAAAGAGATATCGCGCACAAACAATTTAAAATGAGACGAAACAGGAAATCTCATTTTTTTAATTTTTTTGGGGTGATTTCGTCTTGCTTGCTCCCTTCAAGCTTGTATACTCACAATAAAGAATACAACTGGTGTCAATGCCCTAGAATAAACTAACTAAAAACTGATCTATAGCTAATAACATAGAGAGTGTCACAGTCATAGAAACATTAGTAGAAAGTTCTTTGGATATTTGACATTGCTACACAGAGCAGCGGTTCTCATGTGGGTCGAACTACCCTTACACAGGGGTCCCCTAAGACCATCGGAAAACACATACTTAAGAAGTAGCAAGGAGAATAATTTTACGGCATGAGGTCACCACAACATGAGGCACTGCTGTATTTAAACGTCGTGGCTTTAGGAAGGTTGAGAACCACTGAAATAAAGTCATCGAATTATAATTGTACTAATTTTTTTTTTATTAGATTTAACTTCATGGTTTCAACAAGCTAATTTACAAAGTGTGATCACACACACAAAAATGTATTCTGTAATTTTTTTATTTTTTTTTTAATTTTTTTTTTTGTGATTTAGAGTAATTTTCCGTAAATTGTATTTTTTGAATGTTGGAAATGCGTTACCTGACAATTTCCGGATGTTGTGCTGTTACATACGCAGTACCAATACACAGTCACATTGGGGATCAAAGATCTGAAAAAAATAGGTAAGGTGTGAAGCAATCGCCTTTTTTTATACGACACCCAAAAGTTGTAATTTTCCACCATTAGCATATTCAATTCAGATAAATTGTATGACCTTATAAGGTTATCGGAAATGAATGCGTGATGTCGGGGCTCGATGGGATTAAAATTATATATTAGACGTGGGGGGGGAGCGGTTTTTACGTTTCTTGCATGTATCTAAGTGGGGGGGGGAGGGGCCTGAAATAATTGTGTGAGAATGGATCGAGTAGATTTACAAATAAACTTTTGACCAACGTTTAAAGACAAAAATTAAACAAGTCCAAAATACAAAGTTTGTTTTCGTGTAAATCCTTTGTATTCATTATTTGTTTGCATTTATGTAAAATTTAGCAACTAGTTTTTGGTATGGGAATTGTTTTTTATCAAACTTTTTGTGTGTAAAGTATAATAATTAAATGAATGCAATCAGGCCTCGTAAATGAAATAACAAAACGAGGTATGTGGAAGCTTGAATTAGAGAACGGGACAAAAAGATTGGACGTTTGGCAAATATTCTTTGAAAAAACGAATAAACCTACCAGAGCCATTCTTAGGATTTTGGAGGTTCAAGGCATGGAGCGAAGGTAAGGGGCCCCGGAAAGGGTGGCGCGGGGGGCGGATCTCCCCCGGAGCTGATGAGAAAACACCACCCATCACTGCGGTACCTCCATTCACTGTTTCCTCTTTGTTCGCGTGTCACCACTAACCATAGTGATAATTCCGCCACTAGAGAAAATGTGTACTTGTGAAATATATGGACTTGCAGGTTATAGGCTTAAAAAAGGGGGGGGGGCGGCGGGGCTTCCTTTTCAGTGGGGCCCTATATAGGCGGTCGCCTAGTTTGCCTAAGAATGGCTCTGAACATACAGTATAATGGATAAAACAGTTGCTAGTTTCTAGCTCTGCCGTACGTCTCCATAATTAGATGACTCTTCGCTTGGGATGAAATTACGCCCTCGCCTTGTCTTCACACCAGGACATCCCTTTTGGGTAGGACGCTACTTCACACCAGGACATCCCTTTTGGGTAGGACGCTACTTCACACCGGGACATCCCTTTTGGGTATGACGCTATTTCACACCGGGACATCCCTTTTGGGTAGGACGCTACTTCACACCGGGACATCCCTTTTGGGTAGGACGCTACTTCACATCGGGACTTACGAGAATTTAGCGAAATAATTTTACTGATGGTTTTTTTCATTGTCATTGGCATCTGGGGCGGAGATAAATTGTCTATAAATAACATGTTCGGGTGTTAATGTTGCGTAACGTTGTGGTTTTCGGAGATGTAATATGTGCTAATAGTTGGCTCGTAGAAAAGAAAACAATACGTAACAAAAAAACAACAAAAAAACAAAAAACAACTGATCTGACGGTATGCAAGGAAAAAGAATACCAAAGCTAGCGATACTAACAATGCTTAATTTAATTATATTTATAAAAATATATATATTTATATAAATTTCTACACAAATACAAATTTTAGTAAAAATGCACACACAAAAAAAAAAAAAAAACTAAATCAAGTTACAGCAAGTGAAAACGATACACCCCTCAAAATAGAAATATTAAATTACACAAAAACACAATTATATAATGTGTCGCATAGCAAAAAATTGTTTCCCTCGCCTCTTAAGAATACCAAAGCTAGCGATACTAACAATGCTTAATTTAATTATATTTATAAATATATATATATTTATATAAATTTCTACACAAATACAAATTTTAGTAAAAATGCACACACAAAAAAAAAAACAACTAAATCAAGTTACAGCAAGTGAAAACGATACACCCCTCAAAATAGAAATATTAAATTACACAAACACACAATTATATAATGTGTCGCATAGCAAAAAATTGTTTCCCTCGCCTCTTTATCTGTCTCGCGATATCTATCTCTTAAGAAACCTGGATTGGGGGGGGGGGATTAAATCGACACGTTCTAGTAAAGAAAATTCTAGAAACTGCGTCGCCTAATGGCATTCTTGAGAACAAATGCAACGCATTCAAACGTAAACATACGTTTCCCAACCAAGGGTGGGGTGTGGATGAAGCAGCGCATCTACTCGGTGACGTCGCTATCAAGGCCATACCAACGATACAAATGGTGGTGGCTAAAAAATAACTCTACGCTGAAGTGGGGGACAAAATTGGCCGAGCCACGCGCTATACTAGGGAAAGAGAAGGGTCGGTGGCTAAAACAGCTCGACCTTAGAGTTAAAAAATTGGCCAAGGCGTAGGCCTTATCATAACAGTAAAAATTGTAGAAGTGGCGAATAAAGTGGGAGACGCCAAAATGTGTCTTTCGTTCTGAGACTCACCCGAATTCGCCGTTCATTTCAATGTTGGGACAGCTTGGCTTCATCAGCTCTGCGTTGGCGTATTTTTCGACAGCGTTGAGCAGGAAGATGTACTCGCTGACCATAGTGTACGTGAAGAATTCTGAGCCGCCCTGGACACAGTGGATACCATTAATAACAGGGAACATCGATTTAACGGTAATAGATCGGTACGACAGTGACACATCTGTGTGACGATAATACGTAGGTACAACCACTGTACACCGTTACAACAGGTTGACTCATCGGTACAACCGCGACACATTTGTGTGACGAAGATACGTTGGTACAACCACTGTACACCGTTACAACAGGTTGACCCATCGGTTCAGCGGCGACACATCTGTGTGACGGTGACACGTTGGTACAACACGGTACACCGTTACAACAGGTGACCCATCGGTACAACGGACATCACGTGTACTTGATGTCATGGTTTGATTCAGACTTTTTGAAAACAAGTTCTTAAACAAATAACAACTGACACGTTCCACTAAGCATTCCTTTTTTTTTAACCTATGTCATTATCATTGGCATTATAGGTATTATTGTTATTATCATTATTATTATCACCGGGTATTATTATTATTATTATTATTATTATTATTATCATTATAGGCGTAGTCAGCATCATTAGGCTCATCTTCAGGCCTAACCGTTCAAAACACCTAGAAATCTTTTAGCAGCCATTGAACTTTAAAGTAACACTTGTGTTTCATTATATGAATTTAAATAATTAAATACCAATTACAAGGGCTTAAGCATGCAGTCTACCCCCCAACCCCCGCCACGACGCCCCTGAATTTCTAAATTACTAACTAGTATTAAGTGGGGGGAAAAACTAAATGGACATAACTTAGAAGTGAGTTCGATAACTAATTAGGACAGATGTTAGTATTGTAAGACAATGTAATTATGTGAGTCCTCGTGTTTTAAATAACATTATTTCTACAGCTAGTTTTCCCGGCCCATCTGTCCGACTAAAAAAGATTCTGCGAGGGGCTCATTCCCCCACCCTATCTTTTTGACGCTTCCCCCCCCCCCCACTCCCATCAATGATTGTTGTTCGTCCGTCGAGGATCGACGATGACCATCGAGTCGTCCGGTGACTGATGACTTGCGCTAGTGACTTTTGTTTAAAGTGAGGAAGAGCGGCGTCAACCTCACCATATCCAGTGGCAAGACTCTACGTCAAGACGACCAGGGATGGGTACGGTTGCAGGAATTGTAATTGTATGCGTCTTACGGGATTCCAACTACGGGTTTGAATTCAGAATGGACCGTGAAGTCAACCATACAATAATTGCACTCAATACATATTCTTGAATCCTCGTCACACATCCGGTCATCAGAACATACTGGACAACGCTCCGGTGCATTGACATTTTTACGCATAGCGAAACGACGCAACATTTGAATGAATGCGATTATTAAATGAGTCCCCTTTCCAACACTGACCGGATGTACAGCTTACTTTAATCTGGTAATTACATGGACTGTAGACAAATTATATTTTTTAAAAATCAATATCAACATCGGATGGATCACCAATCCACATCTTTGTAGACCGGTGATTTTTGTGTTTAAATTAACCTTCATTGTGGCGAAATCAGTTTCAGTCTGCATTTGATTTTTATAATATTTAAATTATAAATGGAGTTTATTATTTTTATTTCAATATATTAGTTCTTAAAATAAAATTTAGAGCTTCCAACATAGCACCTTATCCCAAATCTGAAGAAGATTTGGATTTTTTTTTTTTTCTGTTGTAAATAAATAAGTTCTAACAGCTGTTCGACTCACCGACATGGACGAGAGCGGGAATGACGAGGTCAGCACGAGCTTCCAACCGCACGTCGGCGTATATTCCTCGTAACTCAGGCATGTCCAGGCGTAGATGGTGTTGTAGTTGTTCGAGCCCCCATACTTGTAGAAGTTGACCCGAGCCTCCGATGTCAACACGATCACCATGGCAACGAAGACGTCGTAGCGGATGTGCCTGGAGAGGTACAGCCCAGAGAATAGCTTTTTAACTGTCTAGAATATACAGTCATGTATACGTATAAGGCATTTATCATTTCTTATCATGACGGATTGTAACCTCAGCGCCCTTTTTGTTACCATTGTGTATCCGTTTCCATTTCTTTTCTATGAGAAATAAAGACATGGATAAACGCGAAACAAAGACAACGATATATCTGAAATAAAGACACGGATTAACCCGGACACAAAGGTGTTGACCACAGTAAGTTAGAGATGGGGGCACAAGATAATGTGGGTTTTTTTTTGTTATGGTTCTTTGTGTGTGTGTTGTCAAAGGCGCCAACTGCCTGCTTACGGCCTTGGGTGTGTGTATACCCCCCACACACCCCCCCCCCGAAAAAGAAAAAAGCAGCGACTGCATCTTTGTAACAACACAAATGTGCGCATCTGTTAACAGTGACAAAACAATAACAAATGTGTGCATCTGTTAACAGTGACAGAACAACACAAATGTGCGCATCTGTTAACAGTGACAGAACAACACAAATGAGTGCATCTGTTAACAGTGACAGAACAACACAAATGTGCGCATCTGTTAACAGTGACAAAACAACACAAATGTGTGCATCTGTTAACAGTGACAGAACAACACAATTGTGTGCATCTGTTAACAGTGACAAAACAACACAAATGTGTGCATCTGTTAATAGTGACAGAACAACACAAATGTGTGCATCTGTTAACAGTGACAGAACAACACAAATGTGCGCATCTGTTAACAGTGACAGAACAACACAAATGTGTGCATCTGTTAACAGTGACAGAATAACACAATTGTGTGCATCTGTTAACAGTGACAAAACAACACAAATGTGTGCATCTGTTAACAGTGACAGAACAACACAAATGTGCGCATCTGTTAACAGTGACAGAACAACACAATTGTGTGCATCTGTTAACAGTGACAAAACAACACAAATGTGTGCATCTGTTAACAGTGACAGAACAACAAAAATGTGCGCATCTGTTAATAGTGACAGAACAACACAATTGTGTGTATCTGTTAACAGTGACAGAACAACACAAATGTGCGCATCTGTTAACAGTGACAGAACAACACAAATGTTTGCATCTGTTAACAGTGACAGAACACCCCGCGCGTAACGCTAACACCACTCGTAAAACAACCCAGTGCCATGTCAGCAAGAACAATCATGACATTGAAGCAAATATTGACCGCAAGAACAAAGATAGAAAAATAATTTAAAAGCATCCGCCTTTATGTTTCTTTATCTTGCTGGAAGACAGCGGGGGGGGGGGCTGCCCCTCTGTGCACAACTATTACCGTAATGAAATATATGCCACACTCCCTCTGCATACAGTTAACACCTAAAAATAATTTAAAAGCCTCCGCCTTTATGTTTCTTTATCTTGCTGGAAGACAGCGGGGGGGGGGGGGCTGCCCCTCTGGGCACAACTATTACCGTAATGAAATATATGCCACACTCCCTCTGCATACAGTTAACACCTTAATGAAATATGCTAAATTCCCTCTGCATACAACTAAGATCTTAATTAAATATGGCATACTCTCTCTGCATACAGTTAACACCTTAATGAAATATCCCATACCCCCTCTGCATACAGCTACTACCGTATTGACTTATGCATGGTGTCCCCTCCACACAACGAACCCCATAATGAATTACGCCGGGCACAGTGGTTACTATTGCAATCCCATCTTCGAATAATTCATGAAAGCAGACCCAAAATACGTTAGTTTGTATCCAACCATTGGTTCCTTACGCTATGTTGTCAAAGCGTAATAGGATTTAATCTAGGGGGAGCGAAAAAAGTCCCATGCAGACCATGTCCAAATTTTCAATACTGATATTTTGCTTACTCGTTCCATGAAAGACGCATGTTGACAGTCGTTTGATTTCAGCTTGAAGTTAATCTGTAACATTAAAAAAAAAAAAAAAAAGAAAACTTTCCACAACGCTATGAAATTTCGGGAAATCTTTCCCAATCCTCAATTATTTAAGTGTAGGCTGTTTGTTTGAAAATGAAAGGGAAAACATCATAATATTAACTGTCACATTTAAAACTGTCAACAGGATAATATTTTTTTTTAATTTTCTTTAAATTTGATTTAAACACTTTATTTTGTAACTAATAGTTTACAAAGAATAACAGTCGAGGTTTTGATACTTACATCAGATGATGAAGGGCCATAACCCTACACAGATTCGGTTGACTTCACACATCATGTCCCCTAACTCTCTTTACCATGCTAATCCTTCGGAGCTCTTTTTTTTTTTCTTGCTCTTTTTATTATTTTTTTTTTTTTTTAATCTAGCCAGTATCACAGACACCTAACCTTCAGAGTTTCACTGAAATCGAATGATATTTTTTTACCTTTCTATCGGTGTTTGGAATAAACATCAATCGATTATTTCTACATTTGACCCCAAAAAAAAATCCAGGGGAAATAACGACTTTCTTCCTGACGGTTCCCACAAGCCCGATGATCGGTTCCTGGGCTGATCAATTTTGGGCGAGTGGCGAGCGATGCCTGAATCGTGGCGTAATCTTTTGAAGTGTCCACAAACAAAAATTGACCTGACAGTAGTGTCCCAAAAAAAAAAAATTCTGAAATGACAGCTGGCTGTGTGTGAGTGTGTGATCGTATGTGTGTTTGTTAGTGTATTTTTATGTGTATGCGCTGTCTGTCTCAGTTCAACTAGACTATGTATCTGTGTGTGTTTGTGCCTATCTGTTGATGTCGTATGTGTATTTTTTTTCTGGACTCTGTCTAGGCGTGGGATCAATTTATCGGGTTGCAGCTGAATGCAGATTAAATTTGCGTTCTTTAAATTCCGTAGACAAGTCGTCTTAAACGTTTTCTGGACATTTGCTCTTTTAAAGACTAAATCTAAGCTACAAATCCATTTATTGGATTGAACAACCCGATTATAATAATTTTGTAATAATAAATCTTGTAAGCACAGCTTCGGCCCCCCAGGATTCGATCCGGCGATGTGACTCTTAATGGTTTTCGTACACGCTATCCGGATTTCTGTGAATGGAAGGAGTTTCAACATTTCCCCATTCAACAGCGACTACTATGGTGCCATACATGGCTGTACATGGTTCAGATACAGATTGAGACTCCCTGTCTTAGAAGGTCTTAACGTGTTGTTGTGTTGCCCNACTCCCTGTCTTAGAAGGTCTTAATGTGTTGTTGTGTTGCCCGGCCACTTCTGACCTCGCATTTATTCCCTCCCCCCCCCCCCCACACGCAACACCTTTTAAACCACTGTACCTAACAACGGTGTACTCAGGTTTTGATCACAGGCGGGAAAGGGGGAACGGGGTCGGTGGTAAACAGTTTGAGATGTAAAACGTGTTCATGACATTGGTTTTTTGTAAGCCAGCACACAAGCAGCGTTTGTTCAAGCTCTCTCCCTCTCTCTCTCTACGGTAAAAACTGGCTTCAACTAATATAAAAATATGGCCACTGTCCAAAAAAAAAAAAAATTTGAACTTCCTCCTCCTATTAGATTATTTGCAGTTTCTCTCGGACATCATAAAAGATACGCTCTTTTTTAATTTCTTTATTTTGGATTGATTTTTTATTTGCTGAAGGAGACGTTTAGCCGATACGTTTGTTGTTTAAATCTTATCCTTCCAGGTTTTTTTTCCCTACCCTATATTTCATATTTCTTCTTTTTCTTTTTTTATATTTTTTTTAGCTCTAGATCAGCTCATTTGCAAAAATATTATGGCTACTGCCTGCATGGCTAATTTAGTCTCGCAAAAAAGGAAATCAAAGGAATTACGACTAATTATTCCTATTTTAATGCCTTCTAATTAAATACATACATTTTATCGTCCCCTAAAGTCAAATAAAGTTGATCCCTAAAAAGATTTTTTTTTCCCTACTACGGATAAGGGAGGAGGGCATGACAATCTTAACTGTGGGAACACATGGAGAGATGTTTAATTTCTAATACTAATATGCCTACACATTTAAATCTGACTCACAATAATCCAATTCCTTTCTTCGCAACACTCAACTGTCCGTAGGATTATTTGCATACTTGACGGCTCAACACCGGGCGGGGGTCCTCAAGTTTATATTGACATTCCATTCATTTCTCCAACGATACAACCTAACGTTTACCTAACGGGGAAAAACAATAATGTCTCCCCACTCCCGACACAGCCGCTGCCATTAAATCCAATTTTAAAAAAATGGGATGTGTTGCGTTTTTTCTTCTTGTTTTTTTTTTGCTTTTGTTTTTTTTTGGTTTTTTTGGGGGTTTTTTGCGCACCAACAAAGTCCCCAGGATTAATGGCGGGAAACATCGGCTGCTAGGCCATCATCTGACGCGATGTGAGAAAGCCAATGGTATGGATATTTATTTGTTTAAGTAATTATTGGATTAGCGTATGACGCACTTTGCCTCTCTGAAAACCACTTCACCTGAAATGGCGACACGGACCCCCCCCCCCCCTTCCCACACGCATCACTGGCTGAGCTTGTGTAGACAAACATGAGCGTAAATTATTCCCAACGTAAGTTGTTCTTATAAATCCTAAATAAAATGTAATAAGGGCGCGCTTTTTAAGATTCCCAATATGTGGCTCCCCCCCCCCCAAGAAAAAGGCTCGCAACCGCACATTTTGTCCACGCCCCTGACGTGTATTGATATCATAACGATTCACCCGCTAATACGTCACTGATTTATTTCACCAATAATTAGTAGAAAAACAAAAGCACTTGCGATATATTTTTTTCCAAAAAAGTCTCATTTAGCGGGAATTTTATTTTATCTTCCCCTTGAAAAAAATAAATACTGAATTTTGGGGTAGGGGCTGAAAATTTGAAATAATGTGTTGTCATCGGCAACGCGTCTATGTGCAAAAGTTTCAGCTCAATAGATTGACGGGAAATGGGTCAATTAATCGTCCGAATATTTCGCCTGTCACCCAGCCAGCCTGCCAGCCACCCACGAACAAAAGCGGAGCTAGTACAAAGGATTTAAAAAAGAGAGAGAGAGAGGTTAGTACATTAGAACATAGCTTGTTACTAAAAAGTATCTTATGAAGTATGCCATTACAGCATAAGAATTTCGGTGACGGGGTTAGCAAGAAATGTTATGCTATAGAAGAAATGCAACCATTTATAATTGGTTCCAAGGGTCCACTCTCATCATTTAATGCCTCGTCCCATACCCCAATGGGTTCAAGGGTCCACTCTCATCATTTAATGCCTCGTCCCATACCCCAATGGGTTCAAGGGTCCACTCTCATCATTTAATGCCCCGCCCCATACCCCAATGGGTTAAAAAAACAAAGTGACCGACAATGTCACTGCGTTCAATGTCAAGAGTGGCTGCTGGAAATACTTCCCTCGTCAATTTCAGTCAAGGAGCGCTTCTTTGACAGTGAGACTCAACTGGCTCTAAATTAAACAGTCATTCCAAACCGAACCCCTTTGTTTTCCCATACCCCACGACCCATTTAAACCTCGTTAAAATTAGTTGCTATGATTCTTCCTTACGTCCTGCAATTTTCACCCGTTCCGTCCCCCACCCAACCTGTTTATAATTAGCGGTAGTATCACCCTGACAGGCTATAAGTATGAAATCATTATTTTCACTTTATCTACCGGAAAGACTAATTATTTGCTGGAGGGAAAAAATATCGTATAAAAGCTCATTTGTTTCCCATAAATTATACCTTCTTCCCTGTATTCACAAATCACAAATGGTTGGATTTTTTTTCCCCGGTGCATTCCGATTTATTTCCACGGGTTTCTTAACGCCAGCGGTTCCTAGACTTTTTTGATGCTCGGCGCTATCGCTGAATCTCGGCTCTCCCCGGACGGCCTTGTCAAATTCAAACTCTGCTACAACAATTGATCGTGTTATTTACGGTAGAGCGCCAACGAGTTACCATTTGGTAACAGGTATTGCTAAGCGAGTTACTGGTCTGCGCCAAGTCTGCTTGATGTCGCGTTCAATCACATTAAATTGACAATGAAACTAAATTGGTGCAAATTTTTAATACTTCACAGTTACCACCCCCCCCCCAAGACTCCACGGCTTCGATGACGCAGCGCAATCACACTTTGAGAACCACTGCTGTACGGCATTGTCCAGCAGATGGTGAAGTTGTTGTTTGATTTTTTTTTTTTTTCTTTTTTATCTTAATCAAAAGTTTAATTTTTTTCCAGAATATGCTCACATTTTTTTAAGTTTATTCCGAAGTTGAAAAACTTAACGCTTCCCAAAATTGCCTTNTGACTGCGTTATTTTTAAAGGTAACTACTGACAAAGTGAACACCTTGAGCGTTAGTAGCCAATGTTTACAGATTAGGATATTCACATATTATCAAGTTCGAAGTTAATTGAGATAAAAATAAAATAATTATAATATAATAAGGATAATATAAGTAACTGCAATAAGTCATAAATCAAAATGAATCATAATAGAAATAACTAGAAAACACACAGCTTATTGTTATAAGCAAAGGGGATGTGTGTGTGAGTGATATTTAAAGTCAGAGAGAGAGAGAGAGAGGGGGAAATGGGGAGAGCGAGATAGAAGAAGATATATAGATATATATAGAGAGACAGAAGGTAGAGAGAGAGAGAGGGAGCGAGGGAGGGAAAGAGTGAGATAGATAGAAATGCAGGAGCGGTGGCATTGTGCGATTTAGTGCTTCTCCCCCACTTTTTTTTCACGAAAAAAATCTGCAGTTGGCCAAAAATGCTACACCTCCACGAACCATGAAGAAACAGGTGCCATGGCCCAGGACGGACCCGTCCTTCCCCCACCACTTCACTTCTTACGTCAAAGCCCAGGAGTGGGAAATTTCTATGTTGTTTTTATTAGAATATTTTATCGTGGTGGGTGCCGGATATGTTTTAAAAACAAGAGGGGGGTGCCGTACTGCATAAGTGTTAAGAGCCCCTGACATAGAACAAGAAGAGGAATAAGTGAAGACATATAATAAAGGCGTGGGACTGTACAAGATATATACATATATATATACATACATAAATTGGCTTGCAATGTGTACCGTAATACAATGGCTTTCCAACAGCTGTGATGGTCTTTTTGTTTCAAAATAATCTAACTGGTGATAATCCACCATTGAACCCTAGTCGGGTGAGTTTCGTTTCAAATTCTAGCACGGCGCGATCTAAGAGTTGAGTCAGTGTGTCGTACCATGTATAACTTCCATTTGATGACCTGCTTCTCG